ATGGTACCAATATTGGTGTTCGTACTAAGGTGTACGTAGGTGTATGTTTTTACTCTTTCTAGTAATTGACCATGTAAACTAATTCTTTCAATTTGCTGTTCCTTCTTAGAGAACATCTTACATCAAAGTATATGTTGAACAGAATGGATATACATGGGTGGGAGGTACATCTCTGTCGGACCCCATTTTTAATTTTGATATCATCAGATTCTCCTGCCTCTGTATGGATGATCGATGTTTGATTCCACTAAAAATTGCTAATAATTCTTAGATCACAGGTGTTTATTACAACATTTGTTAATATATCCATAAGTTTGTTGTGTTTTACTGTATTGAACGCTTTATGATAATCAATGAAGCATGCATAAATATCACAATTCACATCTCTACATCTTTGAACACTTGTACTGTGTACATCTGATTATTTCTTCGCATAGTCTATAAATCCTTTATGATTTTTAGATATAGAAAATAGGTAAAGAAATAATAAATAAGACTTACTCACAATCAATTTAATTTAACTATCAGACGAACGGTTTCGCTTTCTACAATATGCAAAGCATTTTCAGGTCTCGATACAAAGTTAAATAAATGCTGAAATGATAAAAACCCATATTAGGGTGTTGTCTAATAAAGATAAACAAAGTAGATGTTGGAAATTACAATAATTATGCCAATATTACATGTCTGTGGTTTTATTTCAAAAAGAGTAAGTTGAATAAAAAGGTATAAATTTTTATACCTTTTTTTTATACCTTTTTATTCAACTTACTCTTTTTGAAATAAAACCACAGACATGTAATATTGGCATAATTATTGTAATTTCCAACATCTACTTTGTTTATCTTTATTAGACAACACCCTAATATGGGTTTTTATCATTACAGCATTTATTTAACTTTGTATCGAGACCTGAAGATGCTTTGCATATTGTAGAAAGCGAAACCGGTCGTCTGATAGTTAAATTAAATTGATTGTAAGTCTTATTTATTATTTCTTTACCTATTTGAAATGGACTCACACAAGCAACACATTCATGATTTTAGATAGCTTTAAAATGTGGTTTATTAAGCCGTAGGTCCAGAAATCATTGCAGGATACGATTTTTGTTTTCTTTGGTAGAGCAATAAACGTTGACTTTAGCCATGATCTTGGTATTACTCCGTTTAAATATATGACATTGAATATTTTTTTAGTAGTTGAATACCGTCGGTGTTAAATAGGGTTATGAGTGCAGCATATCCATTCTCAGGTCCAGGAGCATTGTCATCTTTTAGTTGTGCTATTGCTTTTTCCACTTCATCTGATGTGATTGGTAAGTGATCATACCATATGTAAGACGAAGGTTGTTCGGACCTGTCATCATCAAAGAGTTCTTGTATGTATTTGGTCTATATGTGTCTTTCTTGATTTTTATCTGTGATGATGTTCCCCTGTTGATCTTGCAGTTTGCTAGCTGTGTTTAATTTTTAAAAACTAGCTGCTTGTTCTACCTTTAGAATTATTTACATATTAAATATATCGTGTTTTTGTTCCAACAACCCTGTTCATACTGTTTTTTTAACCAATTTTATTTGATCCTTCGTGTTTCGGTTCTTATTTGTCTCTGAATATTTTAGAACATTCTTTTGTTGTTCTTTGATTTTCTTCTTTCTCCTATGAGTTGCAGTATATTGTCATTCATCCAACTTCCTCTTCTCTTTATTTTCTATTAGATGTTCTTCCCTAATCTTATTAAAGGTTTCACATATATTCTGGAGTGATTCTTCTGGATTATATGTTTGCTCCATGTTACTTAGCTTTTCTGAAAGAATCCGCGCGACTCTATCTCTTTCGTTTGCTTATCTTTTAGTCTTCTCATATCACATTTTTTGCTACTATTCTTTTTTGTAACATTTTTAAATCTAAACCTAAATTCACCAATAACAGGAAGATGATCTGACGATATGTCAGCACCGAGGTAACTTTTAACTGATAGGCATCCATATTGCAATCTCTTATTCAGCTACGTAAGTAAAGCCTACCCAACGTTATGTCTGCGATTGGGAAGGAAAGAAGGAGGGATTTAGTATAGAAAAGTATTGGAGAAGGTTATTAGGCAAGGAGACACCATCTCTCCTAAACTATTCATCGTTTTGTTACAGAGTGCTATAAGAAACAGCAATTGCGAAAATATTAAAGTTAACATACATGGGGAGTTTATCGCCATTCCAGAGCTCTGGAGCACGAATTTGCCTTAAAGTTAACTTTTCTTAAACACAATACATGAACAACCTTGTACTGGCCAAAAACATTTCAGCGTATGGCACGCAAATTGAACAAGTGTTGCCAGAGTCAGAAATGGAAGATGAACCACGAAAACTTCATGAATGGGAACCATGAATGACACGAGACACGATTCTTATCGTAGTCGAGGACGTCCTATAAAAAAAGGGCCGACGACACCAAGTTCATCCAGCACTTGGTTCAAGATGCTCAAGATTGAAAGGAATTATTAACGGGAGGTTGTTATGTTCAGCAGTGGACTCAAAGCGGCCGTTGATGATGATGATGATGATAAGAAATTCATTCAATAAATGTGTTAAATATCCTGCGTTTATTACTTTATGATATTGGTCGATTCTAAAGGATATTGTTAACAACAAAGCTTGATTTCCTTTCTTAGTTGTTTGGTTATTCATGTTATTATTCATGTATTATTATTATTATTGAACAATCTGCACTTGTTTTATAAATTAGTTCATTAAATTTGGTCAATATGAAACAGTTAAAATCCATAAGTTTACTAGGTAGATTTTCTGACAAAGAGACTAATCTAGTATTACAAACATATCCTTTACTAGCTTATACAATACAATGGAAATGGTTCACAGAATATTGTCTGGGTGTATGAAAATTAAACGACAGACTAATAAATCCTTAATATGTTCCATTTAATAATCGTATCAAGCCCATTTCAGCCAATTGACTTCTTCACTCCGTGATAATTATTATGATTGTAAGATGCTTTCGTTCATTTCGGATGTATCTTTAGGAGATTACTCACTTCGTGGTGTCACAAACAAAATAAAGGAAATGATTGTACCAACTAATTAGTCTACATCAATGTATATATATATATATATATATATATATAATATATATATATATATATATATATATATATATATATAAAACTGTTTTGGATGGGTTGGAGTCAATAAAAGGGGCTATTTGTTGACTATTTTTTACTCGAGCTTTCAATTGTGATTACAATTATTATCAAGAGCTTCTAAAAAATACAAAATATCTTACAAAGTTGAACTAGAAATAAAAAATTTTTTTGTTAACTCACCAAATAAAATTAGTTTTTTATATAAAAGTGCTGCTTACATATTAATTACAAAAAATATTAATATAAAAATGTCCTATTCTAATAAATGTTTCTCTGAAAAATTTTGATAAAGTTTCTTAACAAAAACAATTGAATTTGTAAACAAAAATTGAATAGCTACAAACCAGCCTAAATGTCATAAATACTAACTTAAAAATTTTTATTTTTGACATATTGTCAAAAATAAAATTTTGTTTAAAAAATTCTTCTTTGTTTAGTATCAAAAAAAAGAAGATTTATTCACCATTGATCGATGCCCAAAAAAATGTAACAAATACATGGAAAATTCAAAATGTGGTATTTTACTGACTGCATATATAAATTACATAGAAATAATATAATTATAAATTTTGCTTAAATTTTGAATTTCTGACCTTTTGTTTAAATTATTATCACTTTTGCTAATACAAATCATTTCCAAAAAAGTTCTTTTAAATTTATTACTTTCACTACATAAAATTTTAATATTATCAAAATCCATAATATGGTCTTTGTCTATTACATGCTCTGCCAAAGCACAAGAATTCTGCAATCACTCTTGTGAGAAATAATGCGATTTGAGAGATTTCTTCCAGTCTCACCAATATACTCAACTTCACACTGAGTACAAACAATGCTGTATACTACATTTGTTTGATCCAATTTGTCTATAGGATATTTAGTTTTGGAATATAAAGATGAAATGGTTTTGATGTTCTTTGTTGCTATTTTTATATTGTCAATAACCTTTAGTGTTTGTATTAATTTAGGAATCAATGATGGTATAAAAGGTAGTGAATGATAATATATGTTTTGATTGTTGGATACAGTGTTTTGAGATTTAGCAAAAAATGGTGTTAAGTTATTTATATTTAATAAATTAGAAAAAAGCATCCTATGTAGCATATCTGGAGGATAAGAGTTTTCAATTAAAATATTTTTTAACAAATGAAGACCTTCTTGTAGATAGTCTGGATGAGAAAGTTTTAAAACACGTTCCTTTAATCCTGTTATAAGGTTCATTTTCATCTTATTTGGATGATTAGAGTAATAGCTTATAAATCTATTACTACATATGGGTTTTCTGAACCATCTGGTTTTCAACATATTGTCTGTATTTCTTACAATTCTCATGTCAAGGAATGGTAGAGAATTATCTACCTCTTCCTCAACTGTAAATTGTATATGTTGATTATGATTGTTGAAAATGTTGACTGTTTCAAGAATTTTGTGTTTAGGAAGTGCCAAAACTAGATCATCTACATATCTTTTGATAAATGGAATGAATAGAATGAACCTATTCTAAGTAGCTATGTCATGGCTGATGTTATTAGTGATTGTATAATAATTGCACTTTTTTCATTTTTGTCTTGTTATTTCTGTCTTGAAATTGACTGATTTTGAAACAAATTTACGTTCAGTCAATGTAGTTGTAAAATTACTTCAAGGATCTAACATTTTAAACTGTTTAACGTTTAATTTTTATTATAATTATATTTCAGCTGGACCAGATAATTATATAATAAAAAATTCTTACGTAAACTGCACACTGTGCGCTATGATTTACTATCTGATTATCATTTTTGGCCATTTAGCGTTCGATAACAAACATTAAGAAATATGTGATACACTAATTTATTCTACTTACATGTGTAAATTGTTGTAAAATCCTAGCATGTTCTTCTTGGTATAGTTTTCTAGCTTTTCGTTTTTCGGCATACAAGGTATTGAGAGTATCTAAGCATTTGGTCTCGATGCTGTCTGCGTTTTGGCGTATTACTTTAGCGGTATTATCCATTTCGTCCATCATGTTCCTCCAAGAGTTGGCCATAAGGCTTCCTGAAATAAATAAAATTTTATGTAATATGTTTTTTTTTTATATTTAATAATAATAATGTTTTTTTTTGTTATTCTCGGGAACGCATAAAAATTAAACGGAACCAAGTCAGAACTGTATGCCGGATGACCCACCAAATTGATGCTTTTCGCCTTAAAATACTCGGATAGATTACACAAGCCGATGGATTTTCAATATGTCAATTTTGGTTAACACAATAAATGTCAAATTTTATAAAGTCTGGGTTCAAAGGGTTACTGATGCTATCTCTAGTTATTCTTCTATCCGGACCATCAAGAACTGTATTCTTGACCACACGGGTGAACCCCAGATAACTAACCAACCTTTCTGGAGATTGAGTAGCCAACCCCAATGGAAGGCAAGATTAGGACAAACGAGTAAGGGAGAGATAGTCCTCCGAAAGGGCGGTTTTCCTACGCACCAGCGGTCCATACATGTTAAACAATAATATTACGAATATTAACGAATATTATCGCCTCAGAATAAGACAGATTATTAAAGGAAACAACTAAAGGTACGGACAAACTATATTCTATTAGGAACATAGAACCTATTAAATTGCTACAGACCGGAAATCATTACGAGAGCTATTCAGATAACAGCTATTCAGGAAATGAGATGGACAGAGTCTGGAAAAATATGCATGTCATTAGTATTGTTAATCAACGATTGAGTCAAATAATCACCGATCGAAAACAAGTTATCTATTGAGGATCTTTCTTCATCTCCAAAATTTACAGATACCATAGCAAATGAAGCAGTTGATCGCATTAACCGGGCTAAGAATATTTTTGTTAGGGGTGTACCCGAAATTACAGGAGACATTGAAACAAAGAAAAGTCACGATGATGAAATATTAAAAAATATTTTAGATACTGTAATGTCTAACTCCACTCCTGTCACATTTTTCAGGACTGGAAAACCAAACAATCGCTTCCATAGGATGATAAAAGTCATTATGCAAAATGAACATGAAGCCAAACATATTTTGAAGAACAAAAAGAAACTTTTACAAAACGTCTCTTTAAAAAACGTTTCCATTATCGACGATAAGACTCCAAATCAAATAGAATGCCTAAAAGAACTTCGAGTGGAACTGGAACAGAGAAAATCGAATGGAGAGGAAAATTTAACCATAAAATATATACAAGGTGTCCCGAAAATTGTAAACTTTCGTCACTAATTCTGATATTTCAGGTTTTCATAATTGGCTCTGTTTCTATACTAATCTAGCTACTTTAAATTCCAAATTTAATGAATTTTTATGCAACATTCAAAACCTAAATCCTCAAATAATTCTTATCACTGAAACATGGTTAACACCAAATGATCCTGACTCCCTTTATAACATTGATAATTATTCCCTTTATAGGTGTGATCGTCGTAATCGGCGTGGAGGAGGAACTTGTATCTACTTGTCTTCAGAAATTACTAATAATTTCTCTGTTACATCTCTTGATATTACTGTCCCTAATATGGAACTTCTTGGCTTAAAAATATGTCATAAAAACTCTTTTGTTTTTCACCTAGTATGCGTTTATCGGCCTGGTGATTCTAGATTAGCAGATGATGAGTCCCTTATCGCATCACTTGATGAACTGTCTAGGCTAGAGAATTTAATTGTTATTGGAGACTTTAATTTTAGAGACATTTCGTGGCCTATAACTGATCCACCTAGTGGCTTAACAACTTCCAAAAACGCATTTACAGATTTTGTACTAAATTCTAATTTACATCAATTCATAACGGAGCCGACTCGTTTCAGAATCAATAATTTACCATCTATTTTGGACTTGGTATTCTCTAATGATCCCCATTTATTAACACATCCCTTAATAAGCTCTCCAGTAGGTAACTCAGATCATGCAGTCATAACATTTCATATTCAGTTTAACTTACAGTACTGTACTCCTAATCCTAATGTTAATAAAACGGTATATGAAATAATTGATTTTGAAAATGCAAATCGCCAACTGACCGACATTGATTGGAATGATGTTTTCGGCGACATAAGGAATCCAGTTGTATTCTGGGATAAGTTCTTACAGATTGTTAATTTATGCAAAAACCAAAATACCCTCAAAAAAACCATATACAAAAATAACATAAAACCTTGGATTAATGGGGAATTAATATATCTGATCAAGTATAAAAGAAAGTTGTGGAACAAATATAGACGTACAAATCGCATAGAGGATTTACAAATTCATCGAGACTTTGCCAGAGATTTAAAGAAATCTTTACATGAAGCTCGTGTTGCCTACGAAGAGAGTATAGCCATCAGTAATAACTGTAAAAAATTACACAAGTATATTAGATCTTCGTTGACAACAAAAGTTTCTATACCTTTACTGGAAAATGATAATGGGGATATATCCCAAAATAACTATGAGAATGCCGAACTTCTCGCCAGTACTTTCTCCAAGGTTTTCTCTGTTGAACCCACTAATTATCAGTTCCCTAATATTACTTCGTCACGATTTTCTTCTTCTCTTGAAAATATAATCATTACTCCTGAAAAAGTTAAACATCATCTTCAAAGCCTAAAAAATAATTCGTCTCCTGGTCTCGACTTAATATCTTCTTTATTTTTAAAGAAATGTTCTGATGCTTTAGCTTATCCACTATATGTGATTATGTCCCTATCATTCACCACACATATTTTGCCTCCTATATAGAAAACCGCATCTGTAACACCGATCTTTAAAAAAGGGAACAAACTGGATCCTAATAACTATCGTCCTATCAGCTTAACACCTATAATATCTAAGATAATGGAAACTATTATTGCCGAGACAATTTCTGATTTTCTGCAAAATGAACTGGTTATACCAGAACAGCAGCATGGTTTTGTCAAAGGACGTTCTACAATGACAAATCTTCTCTGGTGTGTCAATGAATGGTCAAGAGCATTAGACAGAAAAGCCCCGGTGGACATTATATACCTCGATTTTGCTAAAGCTTTCGATAGAGTTCCAAAACGAAGACTATTACATAAATTGGAACACCTTGGTATCCGTGGTCAACTACTGAAATGGATCGACGCGTATTTAACAGATAGAAAATTTTGTGTTAGAGTTGGGGACTCTTTCTCAGTTGAGAGAACGGTTTTAAGTGGGGTACCGCAAGGATCAGTTTTGGGCCTACTCTTATTCATAGCATACTCAAGTGATCTACAATTTCATATTAAATGCAACAATGCTTTCTATGCAGATGACACGAAGCTATTTTCCGATCCCTCCGTAAATTTCCAGTTACTACAAGATGACCTTGATTGCATATCGGAATGGTGCTCTACCTGGATGCTGCCTCTTAATGTGGAAAAATGTGTAGTTCTTCACATGGGTAAAAATAATCCGTGTCTTCCTTACTCTATTAATGGGCGCGTGTTAAAAACAGTGAAATCGCATAATGATCTAGGCGTTATAATTAATAACAATCTAAGTTGGTCGGAACACATTTTGCATATTTCTAAAAAAGCTAACAGTAAATTATATCTACTAAATAAAACGTTTGCGAAAATGTCATTTATGAGCTCAATTCATCTGTATAAACTGTACATTCGTCCAGTTCTGGAATATTGCGGAACTGTTTGGTGTCCAGTATTAGTGCGCGATCGTAATATTCTCGAAAACGTACAGCGGCAGTGCACCAGGATGTCTTTTGGTCGCTCAAGACCTACGTATACAGAAAGACTGAATATGGCCAATCTCACTACATTTGAACAACGTCGACTTCGAGGCGATTTAATTATTACGTTTCGGATAGTAAAATACAACTTTGGAAATTTGGAGAATATGTTCATAATAGACAATGACAATCGTCTTCGTGGCCACAAACTTAAGTTTAAAAAGGAAACTTTTTTAACAACAACCAGACAATTTTTTCTCTGTAATCGAGTGTTCTCGATATGGAATAGCCTTCCGGTTGAGATCATAAATGCTCCATCTGTCAATATTTTCAAAAATAAACTGGATGACCTTTTGTTCCATAGTTGAACATTTAATTTGTACTAAACACTTGCTATTACCTATGTTATTGTATATTCATTTAGTTAGTTAGTGCTTAATATGTAACTACTGTAATGTAACAATTTAATTGTACACTATATAACATTGTAGTCACATGGGCATATGGGTTTTGCAACCCCTGCTCAAATCTATTGTAAATAATAATAATAATAATAATATGGAAAAGAGATTAGCACAGCTGGAAAAAGCCGAACAACATACAGGGTTAACCGCAAGTGCTGATGAATATCAAAAGAAATTAAAAACAGATACACTTGAATACTGCACTGATGAAGAAGATTTAGCGTATGAAACGGCCTGGATAAGAACCGAAAACAGGAAAACTAACAAAAAACGTAAAATGGATACCTCATTATCTCCTCTCTCTCCGCAAAAATCAAGTGCAGAAACACAAATAGAAAAACCATTCAAAAAACCAAAACCACCACCTCCGGTTGTAGTAGAAGGTTTTCAAAGTGCTGTTGACCTGAGCAAGCTTCTAACTGAGGCTGGTATTACCTTCACTATGAAAATCATAAACAGTGAAGTTATAAAAATTAATACAGCCAATAGCGATCATTACAGAGCTTTAATAGACACATTAAATACGAGTAACCTTTCGTACCACACTTATGAAAATAAGCAAGAGAGACCAATTAGAGTTGTTGTTAAGAAATTACATCACACATGGCCACCAGAGGAAATAGTAAAAGACCTACAAAAACGACAATATAAAGCCATTAAAGCTGACAAGAAATTCAAATGGAAAACTAAAAAAACCACTAGATATGTTCATCCTAACATTTAGACAAGATGAAGATATAAATAGAATTTACGGCATAATAGACATACTTAGTACGAGAGTTGAAATCGAGCCATTAAGGAGTTCCAGATTAGTCCCACAATGTAAAAGATGTCAGGCTTACGGACACACGTGGAAATACTGTAAAAAAGAGCCAAGATGTGTAAAA